AATGATCTTTAAAAAAACATCATATGACCCCTTTAACATACCCCAAAATGGCATACTTCATCTTTAAAGAGATAATCCACCCAATTATGTCATCATTTACTCACCCTCAAGTCATTTCAAACCTGAGTTTCTTTCTTCTGTGGAACTAAAAAAAGAAGATATTTTGAAGAATATTAGGTAGCCGAACGTTTTCAAGTCCTGTTGTCTTTCATAGTTTGGATTAAAATACTAAGTCAATGGGACATGAAACTGTTTGGTTACCAACATTCTTCAAAATATCTTCTGTTGTGAAGAAAAAAGAAAGCTAATTCATACAGGTTTGGAACAATATGAGGCGGAGTAAATGATGACTGAATTTTTATTTATAAGTGAACTGTCCCTTTAAATTCAATGAGTAGCATCTTGTGTTACATTGTCGATTTACCACAAATAATAATTTTGACTTGTCCTTTTTAATGTAAAGAAAAAAAACATTGAATGGCCACCCCATAGGCTTACATTTGTAGGTGCCTTTCTGTCAATGTTTTCTTAAATCAAAGCATTCATTTCTTTTCATAGTGCAATCTAATATTTGGATGGAAGCTGTACTCATACAGAACTTTTCCAGATGCGTTCAAAACAATCTTCAGTTTGCAGTTTGGAATCTTCAATTACGATGAGGTTGGTAAAATGATTCACAGTCCAAGACTAAAAGCTTTTGCTTTATCACAGCTTTCATGCTTCCTCTGCAGGTGCTGAGTTCTGATCCGGTGCTCGGCGCTCTCATCATTTCCACTTGCGTCATCTTCATTACATTTGTGATCCTGACCCTCTTTGTCTCAATCATCCTTGAGGCGTTCGGTGAAGAACAGGAGAATCACCAGGTGTTATACGAGTCACTCTTTCTGCTGTTAGACTAAGTCGCATAAGCAAACGTTCATTGGTTTATATGTGATAACTGAAATAACTTTTCTGATACTCAGCCTTCTGAGGAAGAGGAAATCGTTGACCTGATGCTAGTGAAGATCCTAAGTCTTTTTGGAATCAAATGTAAGAAGAAAGAAGAAGAAACTCTTCCTCATCCTACAAGATGATCGCTGACTTCTTTCCTGCTCTATCTGCTCAAAGAAAATGAATATCTGCATCGCTGCTGAAGCTGAATTGTTCCTACAATGCACATGGTCCTTTCGATTAAACTGTCATTTTCTTTTCAGAACAAGCCAAATGTACCATTTTATTAAAGAGCAGATTTTTCTGAAACATTTTCTTTTATGAACTAGCAAGGAAAAAACATGTTTTGCAAATGTGCTCTTTTGTGAACTTTTAACAAACTGCGTGCTTTGCATGTAGTGAACAAAATAAAACAGGTTCGGCTGCAGAAGCTTGTTTGACATGACTTTTTATGATAAAAAAAAGAAATCTCAGTGTAAATACAATGACATGTCTGCAGTTGGACTTTGCTGTAACACTGGACACCTGTCTTGATATTCTCATGGTCTAATAATGCAAGTGTAAATAGGTCAACCTTGATAAGGACCAGAACATCAAAAAGGGAAAGAAAATTTAAAGCAAATTTCTTTCTCTTTGAATCAAAACAAAAACAAGTCCTTTATATCAAAAAGACAGAAAAAAGCCCAATTTAAACCACAAATTGTTACAAGAGGCGGCAAAGAAATGTAGAATTGCTCCCTCATACAGCCAAGATTGTGTAAGCCCAAGTTCATGCCAGTTCAGGTTCATTTCTTTTCCTTTTTGTCATCTTTCTTGGCTGTAGCGTCTCCCTTCTCCTTCTCCTTGTCCTTATCTTTATCCTTCTCATCCTTCTTTTCTTTCTTGCTGTCATCTTTCTCTTGGCCCTCTTTCTTTTCTGCATCACGGTTTGCTATTTTGTTGTTGATGAGATTGTGGAGCGCCACTACAGAGCGGATGAGCGAGGCCAGATAGACCACAAGCATCTGGTCGTTGGTCTTAAGGTAGAAGGCCTTGACAAACTCCTGCAGGTTGACATCAGGCAGCAGATTGAACACGTCCTGCAGCTGATAAATGATCTGGTGGTTGATGGGCAGTTTGCCGGTTACAACCTTCTCGAGATAGCTCTTGATATCCAGCAGCTTGGAGTTGAGCCCTTTCAGGCCATGAACCTGATTGGTGATGCGCTGCGACAAAGTGCCAACTGTTGTGTCCTTGATATCACTGCAAAAAATCATCTTGAGAATAAATAAACTAGGTTGTTTACAGATATTTTAATCAGTGCTGTCAATCGATTACAAAAAAAATTAACTAATCGCACATTTTTTCTGTAATTGATTGTGATTAATTGAACCTAACATTAAAACTTGTAATGCATTTTCATATTGTAATACATATTAGGGCTGCACGATTAATCGAATGCGATTGTCATGCGCATTTTGTTAAAAAAGCCGGTTCTGTAATCAGCAGGAAATCATCATCACGTGCTTTCAGATGGAGCAGCATTTACTACACATAGCCGTAGTTCACTGACAAGTTACGCAAAAAAAAAAATTTTTTTTTAAATTCCCAGACGATTTTATTGCGCGATTATGAAATTTGTTAAGAAATCGTTGGCGATAATGACAGCTGTTTGCATAGCTTCTCAGTGAACTACGGCTCTGTGAAGTAAATGCTGCTCCATCTGAAAGCATGTGAAAATACAACATTTAATAACATATTTACTCCAAACTCACTTCATAATGTCAGTCGAGTGTTTGAAATAAATCCTTCTGTGAGATGATGTGGCTTCTTACACAGAATAAGACACGCAACATATTTCATAGTATTTAAGCAGTGATAAAGGCATTGCATTATAAATATACTTTATTTTAATGAAAATGATTATAATAAGAACTCAGATAAACCGTATATTGCCGTAGTCGTGTGTTTATTAGTCACGTTGAATCAATGAAAGCAGTTGAATCTTCTGTTTATTCAGCTGCAGCTATAGGCATTTTTTGGGTTTCTTCTGCGAGGCGTATTTGGAGTTTCAGCGCGAGAGCGCCCTCTGGCCTTTGAATGGAGATTTACTGCTGATCACAGAACCGTGCTTCACTGAAAGATACGCATGACAATCGCAGCTTCTATCGAATCGCGATCTCGATTCCATTTCGATTTATCGTGCAGCCCTAATACATATATTCAACATTAAATATCCAAATTTATGAAAAACCACATCGTTTTTCCCCTGTAATTATACATTATGGTATAATTGAAAGCCATCGTTTTTAACATTTAATAGGCTTAAAAATAAAATTAAGTGAACTTAAAACAATCTTCACATAATCCCATTATAATTTAGCTGTGCCTATAATATAGTACATTTCTGTCTCCGTCAATATCAACTCTCTCTGTTTGAATGAGAGCTATCATTTTTCCCCACAGCTTATTTGTGCATTCATTTTCACAATATGTAAGAAAATGACTAGTTCAAATATTTGGTATCAATATTTTGCGTGAGAATCGTCTCGATACAAGATCAGCATTTTGAGTATTTAGCCTAAACTTATTTTAATTGGCCGCTCGATCGGATGCTTTTTATACAGAAAATAATAAAATCGCAGAAGTTAACCCTTAAAGGGGCACCTGACACGCCTGCACTTTTCTTTGTTTTTTAAGACCTATTCTAGCAGTCAGCATCAAGTGTCATATATCATTACAAACAGGAGAACCTGAAGTTTCAGTCTAGCTAATTTAAAGTCCAAATTTTCCTTTTGTTTTCCCTAAGAATGAATGAATTTCCAGAATTTTAAGAAAACGCAAGCAACAACTGGGTGTTTTTTACTGTGTACTCAAACAGAAAATCTTGAAGTTTGGATTTTTTTCTTTAGAAAGTTGTATCTGGGTGTTTTACACTTCCAAATAAAATGTTGTCTACATATAACATTCTCCAAGCAAGTTATAGCCATTTATTACAATATTGTTATAAGGTCTATTAGTTTACCAACAATATAGATGTGTCCAAAAAACGTTTAGGGAGTAAAGAAAATGGAATCAGTGTTATACAACAAACACAAACCGTGCAGCTATTTAGTGAAAACGATTGCACAAATTGTCTTCTGCAACAAAAATGCAAACAGTGCAAATGATTCACAAACTACACACAAAATGAGTGAGAAATATACAGAGTGCAACAGAAAAAAATAGTGAAAATAATCTTTATGAACTATATAAGAATTATTTACATAATATAAATGATCGATCCGCTGGCTGTACTCTGCGTCAGAATAGATTTTACCGGGACCTGCAGAAGCGACGCGAAGACATAAATTCCAGTGCTTTATCCGATATGTACCGCTGTTTCATCCTTTGTTTTGGTTTGTTTTATGTCAAAGTACTCCGTCGTGTGTTTTTCTGGGCTTTTTCAGAGAGTTCTCTCATGCAAATGTGTTATTTTGTGTTTGTTTTCATGCAGGGACGACAGACTTTACTTTCACTTTGCGTTTGTTCAAATCTGCAATGAAAAATCCTAAATGGCGGTTCAAAAGACCAAAACCTATGTTTATTGGTTGAATATGGGACAGTTTGAACCAATCTGGGCACGGGGGTGGGACTAAAGCCCAATTTATACTTCCGCGTCGAACCTACGCCGTAGCTTACGCATAGACGCACGCCCATACGCCGTAGCCTGACATGCATCTCTCCAAAAATCTAACAGCGCGTCAATTCTACGCAGACCGCAAGCGCTGTGATTGGTCTGCAAGAACCCCTCCCTCCATATGTACTTGAGTTTTGTGTGTGTTTATGTGCACTTTAATATATTTTAATGTTACATATTCTTATATAAAATAAAACAAAGCAAAGAACAAGTGTCTTATCACTTATTATACTACAAAGCATTATACAGCAGTAGTTGTCCGCAACAAACGATGTTGATTTGCCGTGGTACAAGTCCTTGTGCAGATTGAAAGTATGCCGCCATCTCCTGTTCCGTTGTGGTCTCCTTTTAGTAGTTTTAAATAATGATTTGATATTTATTTGCCGCCGTCACGGCTATAATGCTTCTCCAACAAGCCGCTTCTTCTTCGGCTTTTGCCGTGGTACTGCGGGTTACACCAGCAACATGCCCGTGGACACTGCTGACTAGCGGTTTGCATGTGTACTGCACATTGACGCGGACAACGACGCAGAAGTATAAATGAAAACTGACGCATAGCCTACGGCGTAGGTCCGACGCAGAAGTATAAATCAGCCTTAAGCGTCAACAATAGTTCCTGTTTGGCTCAGAGGAACGAAATGCATTGGTTTCTTCTGACAAATCAATGTTGTCAAAATGTGATGACGTAATCACGTACACTACGGAGCCTCTGAATATCCAAGTAAGACAAATTAGATATCTCCGAAAAAACACTTTTTAAAGCATTCAGATTGGATTAGCGGTTCAAAAGTTATTAAACATTTAAGAACAATTGTTATTTTTAGCCGCAGGCGGCTGTCTCGGTCTTAGAGGGTTACCAGGTTATTTTGACAGCCCTAATTGTAATACATCTAAAATGAATCAAATAATCAGTAATGTACATGTTTTCATCCCCATCTTACCGCAACAAATGCTCCACGCCAACTTCCTCTGCCTCTTCTGCTCCAATCTCGCTGGTCACGTGTTCAAATGTCTTAGATGTGGGAGTTCCATCCTTCAGCGAAGAATAAATGTCAACAATTAGCATTTGAGGCTTTTTAAAGCATTCAGATTGGATTAGCGGTTCAAAAGTTATTAAACATTTAAGAACAATTGTTATTTTTAGCCGCAGGCGGCTGTCTCGGTCTTAGAGGGTTACCAGGTTATTTTGACAGCCCTAATTGTAATACATCTAAAATGAATCAAATAATCAGTAATGTACATGTTTTCATCCCCATCTTACCGCAACAAATGCTCCACGCCAACTTCCTCTGCCTCTTCTGCTCCAATCTCGCTGGTCACGTGTTCAAACGTCTTAGATGTGGGAGTTCCATCCTTCAGCGAAGAATAAATGTCAACAATTAGCATTTGAGAAATCAAATATATTAATATACTACTTCAAAAAGAACTCACATCGTGCACTTCCTCCACTGAGATGTAAGCTTCAGTTGGCAACCCCAGGTCCTTGGGTTTCACATCAATAATGACTAAAACCTTTGGGAAGTACATGGGATTTAGGATAAAAAATGACTTGCTTGCACCCTGGTACATATTGTGTAAAATAAACTGAAAAAAATTAGTAAAACAAACAGTATTACATACCGAATTAGAGCAGTACTGTTTCATGAGTTCATTTATGGCAATATCATTTTTGTGCAGCTTTGGGCCCGTGTGATACCACCCAACTATTCGCTCCCTTGCTAGAATTGAAAGAAATAAAACCATGACTCTTGTTATAGCTTGGACATAAGCTCATGACAGATTCAATAAAGCATATGCATGAGAACT